TCTATCCTGGTCAGGTTTGGTGATTGTGGTGTTCTCCTCAGTGATTGGTACATTCTATCCTGGTCAGGTTTGGTGATTGTGGTGTTCTCCTCAGTGATTGGTACATTCTATCCTGGTCAGGTTTGGTGATTGTGGTGTTCTCCAACGATTGTCATTGCTGCTGAGGATTAATAATTGTTGAGGATTGTTGGGATCAATACAGGGGGGCTGTTATGATTGATGAGCGGTTAGTTATATGAAGGGCACTTATTCAGAATTCAGAAAGAGGACATTTTTATTTCCCTGGAGGTTGGATTAACCAAGATCCTATATCTCATGACCATATTGTAGAATTATTAAGAAGGCGAAAATTTCATGGGAAAATCTGGTTTGTCGTTTAAAGACATCATGCATGTAAACACTAAAGGCCCATTGCATTTCAATTTATAAAGTTAAATTCAGAGCCGTCGGTTGAATATCCAATCATTGTAAACTTGATCTAGGCAATGACTTCTGAATGACGTAACACTTTAAATGTTGGTGTCTGTACTCTTCAGGTCAAGGTCATCATATCAATGCAACATTACCTAATGATGTTTGTTATAGCGTTACCTATGTTACTGATGTTTCTTACAGCATTTCCTATGTTACTGATGTTTGTTACAGCGTTACCTATGTAACTGTTGTTTGTTACAGCAATACCTATATGTGACTGATGTTTGTTACAGCGATGCCTATGTTACTCATGTTTGTTACAGCGTTACCTATGTTACTGATGTTTGTTACAGCGTCACCTTTGTAACTGATGTTTGTTACAGCGTTACCTATGTTACTGATGTTTGTTACAGGATTACCTTTGTAACTGATGTTTGATACAGCGTTACCTATGTTACTGATGTTTGTACAGCGTTACCTATGTTACTGATGTTTGTACAGCATTACCTATGTTACTGATGTTTGTTACAGCGTTACCTTTGTAACTGATGTTTATTACAGCGTTACCTATGTTACTGATGTTTTTTACAGCGTTACCTATGTTACTGATGTTTGTTACAGCGTTACCTATGTTAATGATGTTTGTACAGCGTTACCTATGTTACTGATATTTGTTACAGCGTTACCTATGTTACTGATGTTTGTTACAGCGTTACCTATGTTACTGATGTTTGTTACAGCGTTACCTATGTTACTGATGTTTGTTACAGCGTTTACTATGTTACTGATGTTTATTTCAGCGTTACCTATGTCACTGATGTTTGTTACAGCGTTACCTTTGTAACGGATGTTTGTTACAGCGTTACCTTTGTAACTGATGTTTGATACAGCGTTAACTTTGTTACTAATGTTTGTTACAGCGTTACCTATGTTACTGATGTTTGTTACAGCGTTACCTATGTTACTGATGTTTGTTACAGCATTACCTATGTTACTGATGTTTGTTACAGCGTTACCTATGTTACTGATGTTTGTACAGCGTTACCTTTGTAACTGATGTTTGTTACAGCATTACCTTTGTAACTGATGTTTGATACAGCGTTAACTTTGTAACTGATGTTATTTACAGCGTTACCTATGTTATTGAGTTGGAGAATGCCTATGAAAATAACCCAAGAGGGAAGGCAGTAGAGGTTGAGCTGGATATCAAGAGCCCATCACGAAAGACAACCAACCGTGATTTCCACCTTGTCCTTAAATCACCAAAGTCTGTGATCTGGAAAGTCCAAACTAAACGCATCCAAGGAGCAATAGACATTGTGGTAAGTTCCCCAAATATACCCAAACTTATATAAAACTTTTCTGTAACTTTATTAGGATACTTCACCGTTAATGTAGCTGTATGCTGGCTAAGTAATTTCCAAACAATGTTCTGGTTTTATTTCTGTGTACTGTTGTATGCCAGATGTATTATTGACCACTTGTCTAAAGCTTTATGTTTGTTTTCAGTCAAACACTCATATCAACATGTCAGGGATCAAAGTAGACACGGCAGGGGTACGCATGGAGACGATAACACACTCGCGTGAGGGCCTCATCCAATGGGTCAACTACCACAATGGACCGGTGTCCATCTACGCTGGCATCAGCCTCGCCAACAAAATCACCCTTATATTACCTCAGACAGGTGAGAACGTAGGGAAGTCATTTCCAGACACTTCCTACTATCAACAGTTAATTCTGTAAAGTAGGAGAGTGTTGTATGTATTTATTTATGCAAACTTTTTTTTAGTTAATAAATCAATGATCAGACATGATTATCTTTGTGATGGGCGGATTGGTCAAGTGATGAGCACTCAGGCCTTCCACGCAGGTGGCGGGGTTCAATCCCCAAATTTGTCGTATGCGTGGATATTCAGAGAAAGTGTTTTTCTCCTGCCCACACAACTCTAACAACCCTGGTGGAGTATAAATTGGTCTGGGGTGGATGTTGCAGTATCTGTGCTGTAGCATTCAGGTGTGGTGGCACTATAAATGATACCATTGGAAGCACGGTCCCACTACAAACAGAACACATTACATCTCCAGCACACACGCAGGCATACAAACAGGGAGACATTAGCCAGGTGGCATATGACTAGTAGTTAGTGCCTGATAAGGCAGCTCCTGTGAATTCCTCAAAATTGTATTGATTACAGTATATGCTATCTGTATTAATTGTATATCTATGTACTGTAAAGTACTTTAGAGCGGCTTATGTTAACTAGATAGGGCGCTATATCAAATGTTGTATATTATTATTATTATTATTAAATAATAAAATCCTGTCAGCTTACCAACCCATTTATTGAATAGTTTTGAATAAAAAATTACCTTTATCATTTTACATTGTTATAATATAAGTTAAGTTAAGTTAAGTTTGATGGGGATGGACTTTTTATTCAACGTGAAAAGTTTTTCAGGTTTAACTGTATCTAAACCTGAAAAAACAGCAAATAAAATGGGTGTAAAGTTGTAAAAAAGTTGTATTGTCATTATATATTCCTAAGATTCATTTACATAAATTATCAGACATATAATAAAGGGAGGCAAATTGAGTCTATTCAAAGTCAGTTACATATACCAACATATGTAAGGTGAATTACAGAACAAGGCCTCTGAGGCCTGTGTGACATTAAAACCACTACCCCAATTAATATCTTTTAAGATTCTCTTAGATATTTATCATGTTTGTAGCCCGAGAAAATCATTATAGAGAGGGGACCTGTATTTATTTTGCAGATGAACCAGAATCTGACAGGGGCCATGGTAAAGGATCAATCGGCACTACCAAGATTATTACTCCTCCATTTGACAATATTCCCCATACAAAGAGTGTGTTTAAAAGAGCTATCCATGCTGAATGTCATCCAGACAGACACATGATTGTGGCCTTCAGCAGGCTCATCCTACAGGTAACTACATCACTCCAACATTGGAGTGTTTCAATTGAAAACCACTCTTATTAGCTCACCTGGTTTGAAGGACCATGGTGAGCTTATGCCATACCGCAGCATCCGTCGTTCATCCGTCCGTCAACTTTTCCTTTAAAACGCTACTAGTCCTGAACGGCCAAATAGATTTTGACTAAATTTGGTCTGGAGCATCCTTGGTCCAAGGGGACTCAATTTTGTATAAATGGTGGGTGTGGCACCGCTGGGGACATAGGGGCGGGGCCCAATCGGGGAAATAGAGGTAAAACCTTCAAAATCCTTCTCCTACCCTAGGGATTAAGGAATTTTATCCTTATTAAGTCTGGAGCAGCCTTGGGCCAAGGGGACTCAATTTTGTATAAACCATGGGTTTTGCCCCCCAAGGGCCTGAGTGGCGGGGCCCAATAGGGGAACATAGCAAATTATTCTTTAAAATCCTTCTTCTTCTGTAGGAATGACAGGATTTGGTCCATATTTGATGTTGAGCATCCTTGGGTTAGGGGAAACCAATTTTGTATAAATGGTGGGTTTGGCCCTCTTGGGGGCTGAGGGGCAGGGCCCAATATGGGAAATATAGCAAATTCTTAAAAATCCTTCATCTGTAGGAATGACAGGATTTATTCCATATTTAGTCTGAAGCATCCTTGGGTAAAGGGGTACCAATTTTGTATAAACCATGGGTCTGACCCACCAGGGGTCTGAGGGGCGGGGCCCAATAGGGGAAACATAGCAAATTATTCTTTAAAATCCTTCTGCTTCTGTAGGAATGAAAAGATTTGGTCCATATTTGGTGTGAAGTATCCTTGGGTAAAGGGGAACAAATTTTGTATAAACGGTGGGTGTAGCCCCCCCTGGGACCTGAGGGGCTGGGACCTGAAGGGCTGGGCCCAATAGGGGAAATAGAGGTAAAACCTTTAAAATCCTTCTTCTACCATAGGGATTAAGGGATTTTATCCTAATTTAGTCTGGAGCATCCTTCGGCCAAGGGGACTCAATTTTGTATAAGCAGTGGGTGTGGTCTCCCAGGGAGCAGAGGGGCGGGGCCCAATAGGGGAAATAGAGGTAAAACCTTCAAAATCCTTCTTCGACCATCGTGATTAAGGGATTTTTTCCTTATTAGCTCACCTGGTCCGAAGGACCAAGGTGAGCTTATGCCATACTGTGGCGTCCGTCGTACGTCCGTACGTCAACAATTTCTTTAAACGACTTCTTCTTCTTAACCACTGTTTGGAATTAAACTAAATTTGACTGGAAGCATCCCTAGGTGGTGGGGATTCAAAATTGTACAAATGGTGGGGCTGACCCCCCAGGGGGCTGAGGGGCAGGGCCAAAAGGGGTCAATTTGCCCATATTGCTTTAAGCGACTTCTTCTCTGAAATTAAGAAGTGGATATGAACCATATTTGACTGGAAGCATCCCTAGGTGGTGGTGATTAAAAATTGTACAAATGGTGGGGCTGACCCCCCAGGGGGCTGAGGGGCAGGGCCAAAAGGGGTCAATTTGCCCATATTGCTTTAAGCGACTTCTTCTCTGAAATTAAGAAGTGGATATGAACCATATTTGACTGGAAGCATCCCTAGGTGGTGGTGATTAAAAATTGTACAAATGGTGGGGCTGACCCCCCAGGGGGCTGAGGGGCAGGGCCAAAAGGGGTCAATTTGCCCATATTGCTTTAAGCGACTTCTTCTCTGAAATTAAGAAGTGGATATGAACCATATTTGACTGGAAGCATCCCTAGGTGGTGGTGATTAAAAATTGTACAAATGGTGGGGCTGACTTACCAGGGGGCTTAGGGACGGGCCAAAAGGGGGCAATTTGGCTATATTGCTACAAACGACTTCTTCTGTAGAACTGTGCACTGGATATCAATCATATTTGATCAAAAGCATTCCTGGGAGGCAGGGATTTAAAATTGTACAAATGGTGTGGCTGACCCCCCANCCATGGATATTGATCATATTTGGTCGGAAGTATTCATGGGAGGCAGGGATTCAAAATTGTACAAATGGTGGGGCTGACCCCCCGGGCTAAGGGGTGGGGCCAATAAAATGCATTACTTGGAAATGGTTGAGATCCCCACCATATAATCATATATAGAATTGCTGAGTATAAAGAGAAAAATGCACATTTGCTTCCAGGATGTCCCTAGGGTCTGGCCCCACCCTTGGAGACATAGTCCCTGGGCCATAACTTTAAAACGGTTGAGATCCCCACCCCAAAACTATATATACAAATGCTGGGCATAAAGAGACGAATGCAATCATGATATCAGAATAGACCCTGGGGTCTGACCGAACCCCTAGGGACCTAGTTTCTTAGTCACAGCTTGGAAACAGTTGAGAGCCCCACCCTATAACCGTATATATACAATTGCTGAGTATAAAGAGATGATTGCACATATGCTTCCAGGTTGGCCTTGGGGACTGCCCCACCCTTGGAGACTTAACCCCTGGGTCATAACTTTGAAATGGTTAATATCCCCACCCCAAAACTATATATACAATTGTTGGGCATAAAGAGACGAATGCAGTCATGACATTAGAATTGATCCCAGGGTCTGCCCCACCCTTGCAGACTTGGCCCCTGGGTCATAACTTTGAATTGGTTGAGATCCCCACCCCAAAACTATATATAAAAATGCTTGAAAAAAAGAGACAAATGCAGTCACGATATTAGAATCGATCCTGGGGTCTGGCCACAACTCTAGGGACCTAGTTTCTGAGTCAAAGCTTGGAAACAGTTGAGATCCCCACCCCATAACCATACATAAAATTGCTGGGCATGAAAAATCTAATATAGCTATGCTACAAGGATTGGCCTTGGGGTCTGGCATATTCCCTTGATCTCATTTGGAGAATAGTGCCATGATTGCATAGGTATCCAGGTGAGCGATACAGGCCCTCTGGGCCTCTAGTTTAGTCTAGAGCATCCTTTGGCCAAGGGGACTCAATTTTGTATAAACGGTGGATATGATCCCCTAGGGGCATAGGGGTGGGGCTCTGTTTGAAATTTGTTATATCTCAAGTACTGGATGGATCTTTCTGATATTTCATATGTACTTACAGCACCTACTATGGAGTGCTATATCTTTACTTCATACCAATTATTTTAAACATATTCAGGTGAGCGATACAGGCCTTCTGGGCCTCTTGTATTAATTATGGTTTCAGCCTAACACAACTCCAACATTAGGATGTTTTCAGCCGAACACAACACTATAAGTAGACTATAGAATATTTTCAGCTTAACACAACACCATCAGTAGAATGTTTTCAGCCTAACACAACACCACCAATAGAATATTTTCAGCCAAACACAAATCCAACATTAGACAGTTTTCAGCCTAACACAACTCCAACATTAGACAGTTTTCAGCCTAACACAACTCCAACATTAGACAGTTTTCATCCTAACACAACTCTAATACTAACTATGTTTTCAGCCTTACACAACTCCAATATTAATTTTGTTTTCAGCCTAATACAACACCATCAGTAGAATGTTTTCAGCCTAATACAACACCATCAGTAGGAGGTTGTAGGTTTAACTGGCCTGAAGGATTAAGTAGCTGTAATATGTAGTCTGTTCTTCACTCATAGTACCTGAGGGGACTACAGGTTTACAATCCTTCTGTCAGTCCGTCAGTGTGTCACTTTGTCTGGGGCACATCTCATATACTCCATCAAACAATTACTCAACTTTACATTTTAGTACTTCTTTGGATGGTAGCTGTATATATAGAGAGTGTCACATACTTAAATCAGGTCTGTTACCAGCTACATACAGCATCATGGCCCTTTGTCCCTCTGTCTGGAGGTTGGGGACTGGATTAGTCACAATGATTTACCTTGCTCAATAACATTTCATTCACAACATAATCCATCAATACAGGTTTTGATGAGAATTAAACAGCCAAGGCTGGGTTTGCAAGGAATATATAACAGATGTATTGCTTTTTGCTGTGTGGTTTTACTCTCTTGGAAATGAAACCATAAGTCTTAAAAAATGTATTCACTATTTCCAATGTTAAAAAAAAAAGATGATTATTACATGTACTATCATTGAGATTAATATGTTCATGAATACTAAATGACTTGATGAATTAGTTTTGGTAAAATTATAAATTATTTTTACTAGGTAAAAGTGTTTTATAATGTATTTGTTGCAGAATTTTGGCTTAGAAATAGATCAGCTGACTCTCAGGGACCCAGCATGTAAAGCTGGTAAAAATGAGAGCCACATCATCCTAGGGTTGTCCCCTTCTAACTGTGGTACGCAGGCATCGGTTACCGACGGGAACACTTTCTATAACAACATGGTGAGTTGACCAGAAGGATATGACATCAGACAAATTGTAGCAGAATAAAAGATCAAAACAAATTTCAATTTAGTAAACAATTTTTGACTTCTTAGTTTACTTTATTTCAAAATTGTTTATTTTTCTTCAATTTCCTGAATAACTTCAAGACATACAATTAGAATTAAGCATGTTGTTTATTTTAAACAGCAAACAGTATAAAAGTATTTGTGTTTAGATAAGTCGATGACAAAAGTACAAGTACACTGTCAAATAAAAATGTGAAGTTAATTGTTGTTATGGACTGAACCGTTTCTCCTATATAATTTAGATTATTCATGAGATTTTTGAAGAGATACGGCTAGTTATGGTTCTCTTAAATTTTGACTGGCTCTTGTGTAAATGATGTTCATAAGATTCCATGTTAATTCTGATTTCAGTTATTGGTACATCGCTCCTCTGCAGATGGGTTGGAAGAGATCGGAAGTGGCTATGATACCCTCTCGGATAATGAAATTTCAGGCTCAGGGTCACATGATCCTAAAGCTGAAACCTACTTCGATGATGAGGACTTCCAGAGTGATGCAATAAAAGTAGAAGTTGTATGTCAATTTGTTGCACATGAGGGGATAACAGACTCACAATTGGTATGTAACAGGATCTCAGGAACAGCTGGGGTGCAAATAAAAACACTAATTGTTAACAGAACTTTTATGAAATCATTAATTTCTAACTTTCTTACTGAAAAGTTCACCTGCATGAAATTACAAGGATGGCTACAGTTAACAAAACAATGTCTTCTTCAATGTGGCCATTATTATGTGAGTGTAACAATTTGCCGATCAACATAACCTGTAATTGGGACTACTGTGATACTGCAAAGTATTACTACATGTCTGAAAAGTTTACGTAGACCTTACCAAACAAATTACCACACTCTTTGAAAATCATAAACTCTATCAAAATTGACCTCAATCAACAGAGCACAGTGATGTTGAATGTATCATTGTTTTCATGTGTTATACAATTTTGCTTATCCAGTATTTCGTATTTCAGCCCACACAAAACTACACTGATTATTCCTGGGCACAGTCAAACAGGAGTTTCGGTATCAAGCTGTTCCGCTCCAGTGTGATGAAGGACCCAGTCTACCGCTTCCCTATGACTGTTTCTCCATACAGTTACATCTACGTGGAGGTCGACATGCAACCAGGTTAGTAGTCGAGTGTGGAGGTCAACATGTAGCCAGGTTAGTAGTCGAGTGTGGGAGTCGACATGTAACCAGGTTAGTAGTCGAGTGTGGAGGTCGACATGCAAATATGTTAGTAGTCAAGTGCGAAGGTCGACATGTAACCAAGTAAGTAGTCGAGTGTGGAGGTCAACATGTAGCCAGGTTAGTAGTTGAGTGTGGAGGTCAACATGTAGCCATGTTAGAAGTTGAGTGTGGAGGTCAACATGTAACCAGGTTAGTAGTCGAGTGTGGAGGTCGACATGCAAATATGTTAGTAGTCGAGTTTGACGGTCGACATGTAGCCAGGTTAGTAGTCGAGTGTGGAGGTCGACATGCAAATATGTTAGTAGTCAAGTGCGAAGGTCGACATGTAACCAGATTAGTAGTCGAGTGTGGAGGTTAACATGTAGCCAGGTTAGTAGTTGAGTGTGGAGGTCAACATGTAGCCATGTTAGAAGTTGAGTGTGGAGGTCAACATGTAACCAGGTTAGTAGTCGAGTGTGGAGGTCGACATGCAAATATGTTAGTAGTTGAGTGCGAAGGTCGACATGTAACCAGGTTAGTAGTCGAGTGTGGAGGTTGACATGCAAATATGTTAGTAGTCAAGTGCGAAGGTCGACATGTAACCAGATTAGTAGTCGAGTGTGGAGGTTAACATGTAGCCAGGTTAGTAGTTGAGTGTGGAGGTCAACATGCAACCAGGTTAGTAGTCGAGTTTGGAGGTCGACATGTAAATATGTTAGTAGTCAAGTGGGAAGGTCGACATGTAACCAGGTTAGTAGTCTAGTGAAACTCCATACCAGCGTGTCCTACAGACTGTTATTGTTAACTCCGACAACCAAGTGGTCACTATCAACACTTCTGTCTTGGAGAAACACAGTAATGCTAAGCACTTCTGTTATATTAACTTATTAATTTCAAAAAGTTATGGAACATTTTTTTTTAACAATTATTATATTAATCACTCTTGTTGGCCTCGATGGAAATGCAAAGAGAGTCTTTATGTCCAGAGAAAACCCATATAGCTGGACAGGTGACCCAATACCTTCTCATGTCCAATTGGGAACCCAACCTGGCTGTCTTAGTGAAAGGCAAGTACGCTTTGAAGAATGTTGTCTTTAACGATTGGCTGTATTTGTTTATACAGTGACATTTTTGTGATATCCATTATGTTAAATTCCAGTGGAGAACCTTCAGGTGATGCTACAGAGTTGTTGGTTATCGGACCACATGGATAAGCAGACAGACCGGACAGTAACCCTCATAGAAAATGGGTAAAATCTCTTTTGGCTTTGAAGATTAGGAATAATTGTTTGTTAACTTATATAATTACTGATCTTAAAATCTGTGTTTTGGTGATTTTCGTGAATTATTTGAATTCATTAAAATCAATGAATAGTTAGGTCATTTGAATTGTAGTTAGAATCTTCATGAATTGACCACAGTTTTATATTGGAAGCAAATTGAACAAATTATTGTCAGGTTCCTGTGACAAATCACAACTTTGCTTTTTCTTTAATTTGCAACAACATGTTATAGTGATTTTATTATCGTATTTTACCTTATAAGCACATTGTGCACTTACCAAAACACGAGAGGGGTGTGCTTAATTAATCCCTTATGTACTCAAACCGACTGTGTCTGTATGTGTTCAACAAGCCTAATGAAACCTGTTTATAGTTGCCACGTTGTCGCTATGGAAGTGTATATATGTACCCACAAGATCTTGCAGCAGCAGAACTTCCTGTTCAAAATGGAGGCTAACAGAAAAATGACGACTTTGTGGGAGTTTTTCCAAAACAACTGTGACTTGACAACATGATCACTGAAAATAATGGCCGACAGCACCGACACGAGCGTTGATGAAAGTTTCTATAGTCAGTTCAGATGATATTACGTGAGATTAGTGACAGTAAAACAGAATTAGAAACAACAGAAACTTCTTCAATTAAATAATGGAACCGATATTGAGATATCGGATCTGTTGGATGATTAAGTGATTGATAATGAAAAAGATATCGTTTTGGATCAGTTGGACTTGAAATATTTAGGCAATCTTTCAAAGGATGAATAACATAACTTTATATAGACGATTGTCCCAATCTTGAATCAGAAAATGATATTATATTGCCTAAATAATGTAAATGCTAGTGAAGGGCAAAATCTTTGATCAAAAGACTGAAGATTATATTGACAGATCAGTGAAGTAAGCAACCTTTTCACAGGATTTAATTAAGCGCACCCATCTGTCTAAGAAAAATGTTGTAGATGCAATTTTTAGGTATAATACGGTATATATTTTCATTATGATAATTGGTTAAGCTGTAAAAATAATACATTACAGTTGTGGTAATTTAAAAATTTGAAGTTTGTAGGAATTTACTATTAGTATAGTACATATAGTACATCACTACTGTATATATAGTACAATACTATATATATAGTACATTACTGTATATATAGTACATCATTACTGTATATATAGTACATCATTACTTTATATATAGTACATTACTGTATATATAGTACACCATTACTGTATATATAGTACAATTTCTGTATATTTAGTACATTACTGTATATATAGTACATTACTGTATATATAGTACACTATTACTGTATATATAGTACATCATTACTGTATATATAGTACATCATTACTGTATATATAGTACATCATTACTGTATATATAGTACATTACTGTATATATAGTACAATTACTGTATATTTAGCACATTACTGTATATATAGTACATGTATTAGTGTATTGTTTTGGGTGAATTGTAGATGTAGAAAGCCCAGCGTACGTTGGATCACTAACCAGTCATTCCTCGGAACTAGCTGGGGATCCAATGCTCATGCTCAGCGATTCAGCTTCAACACTGGCGACCTGTTTCATGCGATGTTCCTCCAGTGTCGTATTGGTGTCTGTAGCAGGAACCCAAAGCTTGCCCAGGGAATTCCTGTAAGTCACAACTAAGACACATTTATATGTGTAATATGTTAACAAAGGATTGGGACTGTGTAGGATGTTAACAAAGGATTGGGACTGTGTAGGATGTTAACAAAGGATTGGGACTGTGTAGGATGTTAACAAAGGATTGGGACTGTGTAGGATGTTAACAAAGGATTGGGACTGTGTAGGATGTTAACAAAGGATTGGGACTGTGTAGGATGTTAACAAAGGATTGGGACTGTGTAGGATGTTAACAAAGGATTGGGACTGTGTAGGATGTTAACAAAGGATTGGGACTGTGTAGGATGTTAACAAAGGATTGGGACTGTGTAGGATGTTAACAAAGGATTGGGACTGTGTAGGATGTTAACAAAGGATTGGGACTGTGTAGGATGTTAACAAAGGATTGGGACTGTGTAGGATGTTAACAAAGGATTGGGACTGTGTAGGATGTTAACAAAGGATTGGGACTGTGTAGGATGTTAACAAAGGATTGGGACTGTGTAGGATGTTAACAAAGGATTGGGACTGTGTAGGATGTTAACAAAGGATTGGGACTGTGTAGGATGTTAACAAAGGATTGGGACTGTGTAGGATGTTAACAAAGGATTGGGACTGTGTAGGATGTTAACAAAGGATTGGGACTGTGTAGGATGTTAACAAAGGATTGGGACTGTGTAGGATGTTAACAAAGGATTGGGACTGTGTAGGATGTTAACAAAGGATTGGGACTGTGTAGGATGTTAACAAAGGATTGGGACTGTGTAGGATGTTAACAAAGGATTGGGACTGTGTAGGATGTTAACAAAGGATTGGGACTGTGTAGGATGTTAACAAAGGATTGGGACTGTGTAGGATGTTAACAAAGGATTGGGACTGTGTAGGATGTTAACAAAGGATTGGGACTGTGTAGGATGTTAACAAAGGATTGGGACTGTGTAGGATGTTAACAAAGGATTGGGACTGTGTAGGATGTTAACAAAGGATTGGGACTGTGTAGGATGTTAACAAAGGATTGGGACTGTGTAGGATGTTAACAAAGGATTGGGACTGTGTAGGATGTTAACAAAGGATTGGGACTGTGTAGGATGTTAACAAAGGATTGGGACTGTGTAGGATGTTAACAAAGGATTGGGACTGTGTAGGATGTTAACAAAGGATTGGGACTGTGTAGGATGTTAACAAAGGATTGGGACTGTGTAGGATGTTAACAAAGGATTGGGACTGTGTAGGATGTTAACAAAGGATTGGGACTGTGTAGGATGTTAACAAAGGATTGGGACTGTGTAGGATGTTAACAAAGGATTGGGACTGTGTAGGATGTTAACAAAGGATTGGGACTGTGTAGGATGTTAACAAAGGATTGGGACTGTGTAGGATGTTAACAAAGGATTGGGACTGTGTAGGATGTTAACAAAGGATTGGGACTGTGTAGGATGTTAACAAAGGATTGGGACTGTGTAGGATGTTAACAAAGGATTGGGACTGTGTAGGATGTTAACAAAGGATTGGGACTGTGTAGGATGTTAACAAAGGATTGGGACTGTGTAGGATGTAAACAAAGGATTGGGACTGTTGGTGTGGCATGGGATTCAGTATAGCAAATGATTTAAAACAGTACAACTAGTTGTGATAACTCAAAACTACAAATAGATATAAGTGGTTTTATCAGGTGTCAAGTGAAAAAAAATGAAAATATATCATTATCATCCTATAAATTATTGTCATGTAAAACAGCATCAGCTTCACATTAAGTGTTGTGAATTGTCAGAATATACAGATTTCTTCAATATGATTATGTAATTATATAGTGTGGAGACGAGATGTGTGGGAAAATCACGGCCAACATGCCAGGAAAGCTGATTGTTCGTGGTCCACTGGAAATCACCGGGCAGGTGGAGCCTCCCGAACCCAGTCGGAAAACGATAATTAAACCAGCTATCAACCAAGGTCTGTACACCACTGTTACCTTAGAGACAGATGATACTAGAATCTATCATATACAGGCTGTCTTCAGCTGCTAACAACTCAAATATTTCTATCAACAACATGAATGTGTTATATTCAGATAACTTAATTAACATGATAATGAGCAACAGTCACTCTACAGCTATTACTTAAAAGTGGTAGAAATAGTAGACTACACTTTAACAAAATTGATTTACATCTATGAACTCCAATTATTTTGGTAAGAATGTATAGAAGTCAGAGATTGAACGTGTGAACATGACGTGATGCTATTATGCCATCAAAATTTCATTCTCAAAATCTGGGAGATCTCCTTACTGAATGTGCCTGGCTGCATAAGAAAGTCAGTCTATACACATGTGGTCAAAGAGTCTGAAGACAGACTATACACAGGTGGTCAAAGAGTCTGAAGACAGACTATACACAGGTGGTCAAAGAGTCTGAAGACAGACTATACACATGTGGTCAAAGAGTCTGAAGACAGACTATACGCAGATGGTCAAAGAGTCTGAAGACAGACTATACACATGTGGTCAAAGAGTCCGAAGACAGACTATACACAGGTGGTCAAAGAGTCTGAATACAGACTATACACAGGTGGTCAAAGAGTCTGCAGACAGACTATACACAGGTGGTCAAAGAGTCTGAAGACGGACTATACACAGGTGGTCAAAGAGTCTGAAGACAGACTATGCACATGTGGTCAAAGAGTCTGAAGGCAGACTATACACATGTGGTCAAAGAGTCTTAAGACAGACTATACACAGGTGGTCAAAGAGTCTGCAGACAGACTATACACAGGTGGTCAAAGAGTCTGAAGACGGACTATACGCAGATGGTCAAAGAGTCTGAAGACAGACTATACACAGGTGGTCAAAGAGTCTGAAGACGGACTATACACAGGTGGTCAAAGAGTCTGGTTGACTTGAACAGTTTGAAGACAGACTATACACATGTGGTCAAAGAGTCTGGATGACTTGAACAGTCTGAAGACAGACTATACTTATTTGGTCAAAGAGTCTGGATGACTTCAACAGATACTATACTCCCAAATAAAACTGTTGTTCTTATTTTGAGATGTGATTTTACAGGAGTGATTCCTAAAGGTGACCAGCGCAATCACCACCACCAATCCAACAGCAGACATAACTCCAACCACGCTGACACCATTGTGATAGAGGGTCTGGATTCTGGCACAGTTGTAGGCATAGCATTCGCAGCATTTATCATTGGAGTCCTACTGATGGCAGCATTGTGGTTCATCCATACACATACGGGTAATTAAGTAGACAATAGTACTGATGTATATAGGTGAGGCTACCCAAAGTGAGGTAAGTAGACAGTAGTACTGATGTATACAGGTGAGGCTACCCAACGCGAGGTAAGTAGACAGTAGTACTGATGTATATAGGTGAGTCTACCCAAGGTAAGGTAAGTAGACAGTAGTACTGATATATACAGGTGAGTCTACCCAAGGTAAGGTAAGTAGACAGTAGTACTGATGTATACAGGTGAGGCTACCCAAAGTGAGGTAAGTAGACAGTAGTACTGATGTATACAGATGAGGGTACCCAAAGTGAGGTAAGTAGACAGTAGTACTGATGTATACAGATGAAGCTACCCAAAGTGAGGTAAGTAGACAGTAGTACTGATGTATACAGGTGAGGCTACCCGAGTTGGGGTAAGTAGACAGTAGTACTGATGTATACAGGTGAGGCTACCAAAAGTGAAACCAAACCCAGAATGGAACATATTAACAAGAAATGTTCAAATATCCTAACATGTCTGTAAACATGGAAAAAATATTGGCAATGAAAAAGGTATGGCAATGAAAAAGGTATGAAAATTTTATCAGAAATTTCGCCTGCTGTCAAAGTGAACCTGACCTACTAAATAAGCCCCGTTAATAGATGCACTTGCTGTTTTTACTCGAGACATACATGTAATGAAAGATAAAGGCATCTATTGGTTACTCTATAGTAAAAGAAAAAAAGGATGTTTGAGTAAGTAAATAGCAAATATTAATATTTTTCTTACAAAGGTGCTCTATGGTATGTACCATACCTTACATCACTGTACTGCTTCTACGATTGTTTTGGGTAACACTACAAATAACTGTGCTTTGGGTAACACTACAAATAACTGTGTTTTGGGTAACACTACAAATAACTGTGTTTTGGGTAACACTACAAATAACTGTG